GCAATTTTTTCGCAAAACGCCCTCGAATTCAACCGACTTGATTGGTCGGTTTGAGACACAGATAAAAGATGATCGTTTATAAACTCCAGAAGAATGTGATAAATGAGTATGTTTAAAAACTGTTCTAGCACGCCCAAGAAATCTGTCCTCTGTGTCGTGCGAAAGACATGGGGAATGCGGCGCCGCGGGCGCAACCTGCGAATAGCACGCAGCTGGACACGGCGTCTCAATGCCGAACTCTTCTAATGGAGTGTGTCGTTCCGCACCGTAACACCATGAACCTCGTCTTTAGCAGCCTTCTTGGGGACGGGAAGTTCCTCAAGACCGTCCAGTGCAAGTGCGAGGAAGGGGTGGTCGTTGTAAAGATCTACCGGAAATACGATACCCACGAGTCACTTGAATCGGCCAAGCAACAACTCGTGGCTCTATACACTGCCCTGAGCAACGTCGAGTCATCGCCGAACGTGATTCCGTACTCGGTCTTTGAAATGGGCACTAAAGGCAACGCGGCCTTTCTCGTGCGGCAATCGTTTGTCGCGAATCTGTATGATCGTATTTACACGCGCCCGTTCTTGACAGACATCGAGAAGAAGTGGATTGCGTTCCAGCTTCTCAAAGCCCTCGAGCAGTGCCATGCCAAGGGCATCTACCACGGCGATATCAAGCAAGAGAACGTCATGGTGACGTCGTGGAACTGGATCTTCCTCACGGACTTTGCCCCGTTCAAGCCCACGTACATCCCTGAAGACGACCCGGCGGACTATTACTATTACTTTTGCGCCTCAGATGCGTCCCGTCGGAGTTGCAGTGTCGCCCCCGAACGCTTCTATGGCAGCAACAGAGACGCTCTGTCCCGTCTCGCGGACAGCGAGATCAGTGCCGAAGAATGGGACAAACAGATGAGTCGGACGCCACCCCCTCCACCATCGCTGGCACCGTCGTCGTCCTACAACGCAACGCCACAAAAGGGGGCCGTCACGGCCGCCATGGATATTTTTTCGACGGGGTGTGTGATTGCCGAACTGTTCCATGGCGGGAAACCGTTGTTTGACCTGCCGACGCTATTGCGCTATCGTACGGGAGATATGCACGCAGTGCATTCAGTGCTTCAGAAGATTCAGGATGGTCCCGTCAGCGACATGGTGCGCCACATGCTGCAGCGCGATCCACGGAGTCGGTTGTCGGCGGCGCAGTACCGGCAGCAATTTACCGATTCCATCTTCCCATCGTACTTTGACTCGTTCTTGTTCCGTTTCATGGCGCTGGTGCTCACGCGGGGTGGCAAGCTGCCCGACGCCCGCATCCGCCTCGTTTGTAAGTACTATGCCCGCATCGTGCGCGAGCTGGTCGGAGTAGAAGACCACGAAGGCGAAGTGTTCTTCAACCACCGACTCAAGGAAGGTCATGGCAGCGATCGCGCTCATTTTACAGATAACGTCCTCCAGCGTATGTTTGACGAAGTGGCATCCCCGTACGAAGACGAGTCTCGAGACAACGACGGCGACCTTCCCGATGAACACACCTCTGGCGCCCCGTTCGCAAGGGACCCCCGCGCCATTCACAAGCTCCAGACGACTTACCAAGAGTACGCCAAACAGAAATACGACACGTTGAAACGCGTCAAGTCAGCGATATCCCGTGACTCCTCCACCGCTCGGCCGTCCAAATCGTCTACATTGAATGAACTTCCCACGGCGTCCTTAGCGACCGATCTCGATGATGAAGACTTGTCGGAGAAACCGTACTCTCAATCACAGCATCTATCTCCACCACCGGCCACTCCGTCGTCGACAGCACAGTCCACCAAGCCACCTCCGAATGGAATCATGATCGTGTTGTCCCTCCTCTGCTCTAGTTTGCGCCATTGCCAAGTACCCCAGTCCAAACTCACGGGGTTGCAGCTCATTTCTCGCCTGGGAGCCCATGCCGACGATGAGGTGCGGCTCCAACGACTCATTCCATACGTGATGGAAATTCTCGACGACACCAACGCCGCCGTCCGCGCCGCTGCCATCCGCTGTATCACGTCACTCGTATCTCTCGTCACTCTTTTGCCCCTTTCGGACGCTGCCGTCTTCCCGCAGTATATCTTACCCGCGCTGCAAAACTTTCCCGTGGACCCTGAAGAGAGCGTGCGGATCGCGTTTGCAGAATGCTTGCCGCTCCTGGCCGAAACGTCTCGACGATTTCTTGAAATTAGCTGCGCGCTCAAGCAACGCGCCCTGCACCAGCCGTCTGCGACCGAAACAGCACGGGGAATGACCACGACTTCTACGAAAAAGACCAAGGAAGGGCGGAACTTGGACGCGACCTTCAGCACATTTGACAACGAGCTCAACCGGTTGCACTCCGCCGTTGCGCGCTTTGTGATTCAAATTGCTGCCCCCGACCAAAAGTCGAGCAGCTCCCTCGTCAAGCGAGCCCTACTTCACGACATCACGCGGCTGTGCGTCTTTTTTGGTCGTGAGTACACTCTCGACAATGTGCTTCCACTTCTACTATCGTTTTTGAACGACCGCGATTGGGAACTTCGCGCCGCCTTCTTCCAAGACATTCCTGGCGTGTGCACATTCGTCGGCCGTGTGTCGGCAGAACTGTACATTTTGCCGTGCATCGAGCAAGCCCTGATCGACGTACAGGAAATCGTGATAGCTCGGGCGCTCCACTGTCTATGCACCCTCGTGTCACTCGGACTCTTTCAACGTCCAGCGCTCATTGAAAAGGCCAAACTGACGACACCACTGTTGCTTCACCCGGGCTGGTGGATTCGCGAAGGCAACATTCAGCTGATCGCAGCCATTTCGATCCAACTCGGATCCGTCGACACGCATGTGTTTCTCATGCCGCTACTGCATCCATACATGCGCCAGAAGATCAAGTTTGGCCCGACCAATGATCAAGACGCAGTCGTCACGATGCTTCGGAATGCCCTTCAACCGCCAGTTCCCCGCGAAGTGTTCGACGCGGCGCTCATTTCCCGTAACCCAACCGACCTCGTTCCCAACGGCATGTCGTCAATGGTTGAGTATGGCGGGGACACTGAATTCGAGGACGTGATGGACACGGAGGTGAACATCACAAATGGACGCATGAAACTGGCAAGCGTCGACTCGATGGATGGCAGCTCTCCGGCGCACAAGCTGGCTCAATCGAGAAACGCAAAACCGCTCGACCGGTTCGAGAAGATGACGCTTGGACACCAAGCCGATGACGTCCAGCGCCTGAAACTCATGCAGCAATACATTGAAATGGCGTCGATGCACATGCAGAGCAAGATCCAGCTCTTCAACTCGGAGCAAGTGGCTCGCATGCAAGCGGGCAGCGGAGCCAACCAGTCCCGTCACCATCCCTTGGCGTTTACGAAAAAAATTCCACGAACTTCCATGCATATTTTGCGGGTGCCGACAATGCAGATGGCGTTGAGCCAGTTCCCGTTGACGTTTCCATATATGAAGCCCAAGGCAGGGGATACCTCCGGCGTGTTTAAATGGGAGAGTCTGCCGCTGCTGCACATCATTCGACTCTACGGGCTCAATACTGGTCTGTCCACGGAACTCAACGCACTTGCCGAAGCCGACACCAACTTGTCCGTGTCCCCATCCCGAAAGAAGGTTCTGAATGCTGCGTCTGTGCATGACATGGTGCTCGACCCGGCCCTCTTCCACTCGCACAAACTACTTGCTCGACTTATGGCGCTGGACATTCCCCCGCTCCCCATGGACATGGGTGCACTGAAATCTCCAGACATCCAGCCCCCTAGCAGCGTCACCACGACGACGGCCAACTCCGCACCGCCTTTGTCAACCCCGCTGGCCCCGATGCCCCCCCCTTCGTTGACACCGACCAGTTTGCCGCCCCCTTTGCTTGCCCCGACATCGTCGTTCACATCGAACCGCGAATGGCGACCTCGAGAAAACGTCCTCGTTGCCGAAATGAACGAACACACTGGGTCTGTCAACCGGTTGGGTGTCGCACAAGACGGATCCTTCCTTGCGTCTGCGTCAAGCGACGGAGTGGTCAAGATCTGGTCAGTGAAGGGACTGGCACACGGCAGCAATCCGAGCAGTCGAGGCACGTACGAGTCGCACGGATCCCTCCTCACCGACATGGTTGTGCTCGATCACTCGCACTCGATTGCGACCAGTTTTGCCAACGGATCGGTACATGTGTTCCGAGTCGATCGGATGACTTCGACCACCATCAACTCAACCAGTGTCCAGCAGTTTCAGACGATTGGGCTGCGGGAGATCAAGTTAACGGACGACGCTGTCCTGGTCCTCAACCACGTCAACACGGCAACGGAGAGCCTGCTAATCTACGGCACCCGCCGGGGGTTCATCTACGGGTTGGACTCACTGCAACGGTCCATTGCGTTGCTAACTAGGATGTATGTAGATGGGACCTCCGGTTCCGCCGCGAGGCTTGGAAACTCCACGTGAGTGTCGAGTTGGGCCACATTTCGTGCATGGCCCATTCATCTGGTATGCCGAACCACGCAAAAAGTATTCCTGACGCGGCAATGTAGATGCAACATGGCTGGCTGTCGGAACCAACCGAGGGTATATTTGTTTGTGGGACCTTCGCTTTCAGCTCCTCATTCGAGTCTGGCGCCACTCGTCCAACCGGCCAATCAACCGCCTGGAGCCATGCCTGAGCAACTATCCGCCTGGCCAGCCCGAACTCGCGGCCACGTCGCCGTTGGTGTACGTGGCAGCTGGGGATTCCGAAGCTGCTGTGTTTGACTTGAGCATTGGCGCGTGTCGAGCTGTGTTTCGCTCGCTGCACACGCAAGTCCAGATGCTCGGAGCGGACAAATGTCCGACCCTGCACCACGTCCAAGTGCCGAGCCGTATGAAGGACGTGATGGCAAGTATTTTGGGGCCCCCAAAGTTTGCCCAGGCCCTCGACGATATCGCCACCACTCCGTATTCGGAAGAGCCAACCATTCGCGCACTTTTGTGTCCGTCCGAGTTTTCTCTTCTCACTGCAGGCGAAGATCGTCGGATCCGGTTCTGGGACCTTCGCCATCCCAAAAAGTCGCTCACCGTGTCCGGGGGAGACTCAGCACCCTCGTTCTACGACAGCCAGGCTGCACCAGACGGATGGTGGCGTCTCAACTCGGATGACCCCAAGGTGTCAAAGGCCGAGTTGGTCTGGAGCAAGATGCCGCCTCCGTCGATTTTGCTATGCCAGGACGCGTCTTCATTCGGCGACCACGGCGACGGGTACGCCAACCCCACCTTGGAACGCCGCGGTCCGATCGCTGCCTCGCCTGCGCATCACGATTGCATTTTGGATCTCAAGATGGTCGACGTCAGCGGTCCGATGGTGGTGTCGAGTGCCCGCGACGGCGTCGTCAAAGTGTGGCGATGAAACGTCAAGCGAGAGATCCTTGTTGTAGTTACTTTTCGAATGGAGAGTGTGCTTTCCCATCGTCTATGGTTTTAACTGGCGCCGACCGTCTCGAGCGCGACGCTGGCAAAGTACTTGACGTCGGGGTCGCTATCTGCCTGAAGTGCGGTCAAACTCGATCGGACCTGGTCCAACACGGTCGAATTGGTCGTGCTCTTTCCGAGTACTTCCAGCGTCGTCGACACTGTGAAGCGGACGTTTGGAATCTTGTCGCTGGCGCCTTTGACCGACAGTTCCGTCAGCGCCGTCAGAAGCTCCACCGACGCGTTGGAGCTTGCCAGTTGCTGCAACGTTCTCCTCTTAGCCTTCCACCGTCATGTCGAACAACGTACCCCCAGCGCATGGAACACATTCACGCGCTCTTGGTACGTCACGGAGCTCTCGTATATTTTGGTGAGCTTGGGCAGCACACTCTCGAGAATGTATTCGCTGCCGACCACGTCCAGGATGTTGCGCAGGATCTTGGTCGTGCTCAAACGCACTTCGCTCACCATGTCTTGAAACGCGTTCAGGAACATGTCGAGCAAGTGCTGTTGAAAGTAGGCCGACCCCTGCCGCAGAAATGCTCCACATTAGTTGTGGTGCGATATGGTTGTGTTACCAGGGTCGTCACGAGCGACGGAAGAGCCAAGATGACTGCTTCTCGAACGCGCCATTGCAGATCCTTGGAGAGATCCGTGATGGCGGGCAGGAGAGTCGACTCGTACGACGACATCCATGGCGAAATGTTGTCCATGCGCTTGAGCACGTTCAGTCGGGCGTCCACCACGTCGTCTCGGAGGAACTGGAGCAAGATCGGAATCAACGAGTTCTTGGTCACATCCTCGCCCAACTTGGGCGCAATCTCCATCGTCACAATCGACACCGCCGCTGCACGACAACGTTTCCAGTTCGTTCTGCCATTCATGTCAACGCATTTACTTACTGCGAACGTTGGGGGCGACGTCCTGCGACAGCGGCTGGAGCTGAGGAAAGATTTCACCCATGAAGCTCGACTGCTTGACGAGCCCGGCAAACCCTGATATGTTTTTGGCGGCCGCGGCGCGCACTTCCGCCTCCGCGTCCTAATATGGACGGATGAATACAGTTCACTGCAGCAGGTTCGACTCGTACCTGCAGCAGCTGTACAAACAAGTGAAGGAGCTCGGCTTCCGTGATGTTGACTCCCATGGCTTGAGCAAGCTAGGCGGATGATTGAGCCCATGGAAACGGTCTCAACAAGGCTTACGGGGAAAAAGTCCTTGGCGATACTGAAGCGCACGCGCCACGACCGGTCCTCGCACGACGAACGCACGACCGGCAGAATGTGCTGCGAGTTTTCATCTTCGTTGAGCAGCTTTGCGATCACGGAACAGTTCTCGATGGCCAAGAGCCGCACGCTGTCTTGATCGTCCGTCGTCAACGTCTTGAAGAGGGGCAGGATGTTGGCCACAAAAACATCGCGCTCGATCTTGGACCCGAATTTCTAGCATACACGTCAAGACGGCAATCCAACCAAAAGAATCCGTACGCCAATGTTGAGGGCCGCTGCGCGACGGACCATCGGGGTGTCGTCGGCACACAATGTCGTGAAGAGACTGTAGACAACGTAAACAATCACTCGCAAACAGGTCTAGGAAACGTACTCGCGGAGGTCCTTCTTGTTGGCAGGGTCAACCTTCGAGTATGCGACTGGGAAGATCCAGCACGCCGACACGCGCGAGGTGAACCAGTCGCCCTCGGTCAAGCGCTTGATGAGTGGCAGAGCGAATTCTGCGGCGTCCGTCACGGCATCCAGCACTTTATTGATTGACGCGACAGCCTTGTCCCGAACCACCGTTTCTTCCGCAGTGGCAAGAACTTCCAACGGGGTCAAGAGGATCGACGCAGCACTTGGTCCGCCGACCAAGTCGACAAAATTGCCCAACTCTTCCGCCATCGCGACGAGGACCTCGTCTTCGTCGTCCGTCGACTCTAGGAATTACGTCTCAGCAACAGAGAGCGCTAGGTAATATTGTCACACCGCTGAGGAACGGGAGGAGTTCGGAGCGCGTGCGCTCAGGTCCAAGAGCCTGGGCGATGGTTCGAAGTCGTCGCATGCTGCGGATCCTCGTTTCCGTCTCGTCCGTGCGCATTTCTTCCGTGAGGAGATTGATAGGGTAGATCTCGTCACCTAAACAGACAAGCAATCCACCGTCATCGTTCGCGTTGGCGGCAGCGCTTCCTTCGACGTACTCATTGTTCTCGAGGGGCAGCGTGAATAATTCGCGGTGCAGCAGTCAGTAACTTTGTGAAACGGAGTTCCCTTCAATAAAGTACCAAACGTTTTTTCTCCAACTCGTCAAGCTCGTACAGATGGCATGGTCCATAAAGAGTACTTTTGAAAATGGTGGTGCATAAAAAAATGAGTTTGATCAAGAAATGTCGTGGAGCATGAACCCCTTGGACGTCTGGTGAGTTTGGCTGGGTGGCGCATGGGTTGGCGAGAGGAAGCGGGGTCGCGGCGGGTCTATGGGGGGCGGTGGCTATCGCAGAAACAGCCTGGCGTGGCTCAGCTACAAGTACATACGTTTCCCTGCCGACATGACCCAAGTTTTGATTCATGTGGACCTTTCACAACGTACATTTCCGGATTTCGAGGGATATAATGGCAACTTTGGTTGCGTACAGCGACAGCGGCGAGTCGGAGAGCGACGAGGATGGGGCTGTCCACACGAAGAAGCGACAACGTGTCGAGCAGACGGCAGATGAAGTGCGATGGATTCGCTCGTTTCCCCATGTAGATGGCAACTGGCCGTCGTACATCTCCTTTCAAGGTAAGGGTTGCCTGCGATGATAACTAACACCCATGCTTGAATGCATCGCAGTCCACCCAAGCAAGCTCATGCGAGAGATGGCGGACTATGCCATGCAGCTAGCCCAAACACGAGCTGCCCCAATGGACTTGAGGCTGGTGCCCATCGAATCTCCTTACTCTGAGCCCTCCAAGGAAAGCGATGTAGACTCAACAGGCGGCGTATTCCACCTCAGCCTCTCGCGCACGTTTGTTCTCAAGAGAGCCGAGATCGATCCCTTCATCCGCGCGCTACGACTAGCCCTGCGGTATCGCAAGCGGTAATCCTTCCTTGCTCGCGACAGTGTTTTCTGACGATACGTCAGGCTTCGTGTGGGCGTCCAAGGACTCCGCGTCCTCGTCAACGACGAGCGCACTCGGCTATTTGTCACTGTACCCGTGGTCGCTGGCGCCGCCGACGTCTGCCATGTCATTCGTTGCGTGGACAAATGCATGCAGCAGTTCGACCTGGCCGTCTACTATGCCGTACGTCGTCCCCACCGGTGAATGCACCGTCACGGTAGCTGCAGGACCCCATTCCCCATATCAGCGTCGCTTCCACGACATGCACTATGCCCGAGTTGGTTTCCGTCGAGCTGGAACGGTACATGCCGCCGCCCGTCCTTCTTGACCTCCACGCCGTTCACGTCACGATTGGAAACAAACACTTTACGATTCCTCTCAACTAATCGACTCCCGAACGGCCTTTGCCTTGGCAGCGTCGCCCATGGCATCGTGCAGTTCGGCCAGATCCTCCAGCACCTCGGCGCGGGTGTCAGGGTCCAGTCTGGCGGCCGTGCCATATACGTCCACGGCCCGCTCCATGTCCTTCTTCTGCCCCCGCGCTGCCAGCATCGTGGCCAAGTTGCAGTGGAATTTCGCCATAGTCGGGTGTTTCTGCACGGCGCCTTCAAACAAAGCAATAGCGGCATCGATGTCGCCCTTCTCCCCATAACATGACGCGAGAGATGCGAATGCGGCTGTATGACCATCCTCGAGTGAGATCACGCGCTTCAATGCTTCGATGGCGCCATCGACATCGTTTGCTTCTACCAGAAGAGTGCCCAGATCGAACCATGATGCAACGTGCTGGGGCGCGAGCCGGACGATCTCGCGGTATTGGCTCAATGCTTCCTTCGACTGGTCGGATTCCACGAATGCCTTCGCCAGGGAACGCATGATGTCGACGTTTTCAGGGGACATAGCTAGCGCCTTGGCGAAGAGTTCAGCAGCTGCGTCATGCGCACCTAATTGCGCCAATGCCCCGCCCGCGGCGACGAGTTCGTCAAGTTCCATCTCAATGTTGTCGTCGTTCTCGTCCACGTCCACCGACATTTTTGCAGTCGCAGCTTTATCTGCCGTCTGGGCCTTTTTCTCCACAACACCGTCGCCTCCCTTTACGGATTTCTTCCCAGCAACAGATTGTTCTGCTTTCTTGGACTTCTTCTCAGCAGGTAATGCAGCGGTCGGTGCCGCCGCCGCCGCCGTCTTGCTGCGCTTCCGTTTCGCCATCTATAGGAGCTTGAAGGACGAATGAAGTAGGAGCTGTCTGATTGGATGGAACAGGGGTTGGTTTTGGCGTAAGTTTTACCAATATTTGAATTAAATTTTAGCAATATTGAGTATTTTCAACATTGTTATCCGGATGCGGGCCAAACTTCTCGAGCGCCCCAACGACATCCTGACCGATCTACTTGTCATGGACACCTGGTCGGCGCTGCGCGAGTTCCAAGCGCGGTCAATCGCAACGACGGGCAACCGAGACTCCCTCTTAGAGAAGGAATTCATCAAGGAGTTCCTAATTCAAGTCCCCATGCCCAGCGTCTTTGAGTGCTTGCAAGAAGCCAGCCAGAAGGGATCGACGAACGAGGTCGGTGTTTACTCGTCAACAGACAACATGACTTCATTTGCTCCAGGTGAAACTCGTGTGCCACTGCCTTGAGCGAATCTTTCGCAGCGAAGTTGGTCCCGAAATTCTCTTCCAAGAGTCGATGCTCCCCTTCATCGTTGCGGGTATTTCGCATGACGAAGTCGCGGCAAAGGCACTTACTCTCGACATGTTGGACGTCCATTTGACCGCACAATATCACGCGAGCATGGCAAGTGATCCTTAACTCTCATCCTTTCACCAACTGATTTCAAGGACCATGACATCTTGCTGCATGCAATATGCGACTGCCTCTTGGACGAGGACGCGGCGATTGCACGTCGTGCAAGCAGCATTCTGCTCAAGGTACAGATCCATCGTACTTTCTCGGTTCTGACCTTCTGTTTTCTTTAGCTCGTGAGTGTGCCTGACACGGGCGTCTACCACAAAGTCCTCCTGCGCCTACGTGACCTCGTCGCCGACTATCTCTCGCGGTACTAGTTGAGGCTTGGTTGAATCCACTGCACACCGCGCCCTCTAGGCCGTCACGGGAGAATTCGGTCGAGTTTGTCCGGCTGCTCGAGCTCATTTCGAGGTGTGCTGGCGTTAGCGACGCCGTCATGCGCGAGAGTATTGCGCTGGGGCTGGTGGAACCGGTCCTGCTTTGTCGAGTACTTGCCGGCAAATCTCACTGCGCGCCATAGATTCTTGACGGCATTGAGTCATCCGACGCGCTCTTCCAGCTGAACGTCCTCGACATTATTCCGAATCTGTGCACGACGCAGGCGGGTTTGCTGCACTTGTTCCATTCTGGTACATTCCGTCATGCGAAGCATCTTCTTCATTTGCGATGGTAGACCTGTTGGCGCATTTGGTGGCGTGTGCGACCAACCCTTTGGTGGGTGGCAATGCGTTGCGATTGATCGGGACGTTTTCGACGCTGGCGGTGGCCCAACGAGTCGAGAGCTGGAATTGGACCGATGGGGCGCTCGCCAAAGCTTTCTTGGCCGCCGTCGAATCGTCTTTCCAAGTGGGAGATTCCCAGCAGCAGATCGCTGCCATGGATGCCATTGCTGCCTTTGGCAGTGCCTCGGACAAAGGTAGATGGACCCCACGTTGCCGTACTTTGATGTAAAATTCCATTAGAACTAGGACTGCTCTTGGCCCACCGAAGCCTGTGCGACGCATGGCTTTCCCTCGGCAAATCGGCCTTGTTGGAAGCAAAATCAGCGTGCTTCATCTCGCTGGCGACCATTCTCACTCGCGGCACACGCCTCTCGACGAGACCCAACGACGTCCTCGCCGACGAGAACGCGACGTTGTGGACGTTCCATCGCCGCCTCTTCCATGCTCTAGGTCAACCTGAGAGCGACCACTTCGCGTATTGACCAAATCGTAGGGGGGTCCTGTGGACGGCCGAGCACGATGCACCACCTCATGGACTGCCTCCGTCAACCTTTTGAACCCATTCGAGTCGGGGTGTATTCGTTGCTGCAGACCGTCGCTGCCCAAGGCATGCCGAATCTGGCCACGTCATCTTACAATTTTCATGTGCAGGACACCCGTGGGGGCTCGAGGCATTGCATGCGTACGGTGGATTCATTGAGTTCCTCGGGGACCGCTCCACAGAGCCGACAAAGATCACGCGCGAATGGAAGTTTGCCATCCTCGACGCGATCTTGGCATCCAAGTTTCAGCACGTGTTCGGTCGGGTAGTCGCGTTATGTTCGGTGCATCACATTGTGGGATTAGGTGTCCGCGCGGTCGACGAACTGACCAAGGCATTTGAACAAGGGCCGTACGCTGGCCGAGCGCAGCATGCCGAGCCGATGCTGGACGCGAATTAACCCACACCATCCGTTGAAGCTCAAACGTACAATTAAATAAGCTCGACTTCTTTCCCAAAATCTCGCCAGTGCCGCGCACAGCTCCTGGTCTGGCGCACCATTTGTCGGAGGTGCTTGTTGATCGTCTCCGACGTTCGCCGCGCCAGACGTTCCCGCGTCGCCGCCTCCTTCCACCATGTCGTGGTTCGTGCGAGGGTTTCTTCCAGTCGAACTTTCTCGGCTTGGAGGGACACGATCTCTTCTCGGATGCGCATCCTGTGCTTCTTCGCCGACTTGGCGATCTGGGCTCGACGTCGAGCCAGTTTTGCTTCCTTGGAGAGCGGGAAGGGCGGAGGTGGCTGTTTGCCGTTGCGGACGGGGAGATCCACTTCGAAATTGATGCGAAGGAGCAACCCGTCGGGGTCGTTGCTCAGCACGTCGTGGAGGAGTTGGTTCTGGAGCAGCAACGAGCCGCGCATCTCGAAAGCGAAAGTGCTCGGGATGCGACGCCTCTAGCCCACACGTTGGCGCGGCAGCGGCATTTGTCGCATGTGCCCAAGTGGGAACGAGGTTGTGTTAAAGTAGTCTGATGACCGACAACAACAGAACTCGTGACTTTTCAAAATATTTCCTTCCCGTACACTTCAAGCTTTCGTTCGTTTCAATACAAAGAACAAGCATAGCATTGAACTAATAAAATAGTTCTGTCTATTTTGAGCGAAAAAAATTCATAAAATCCAGTCTTCATGTCGGGCGAGTTGATTGGGCAGACGAGGTGATGGAACAGACGGGGCAACAGAAGCGGGCGGCGGCAGTAAAGGCAGGCTGGGTGATGGAAGATATACCCAGGAGGTGCATATCTCCACGGGCGGTGGGGTCGCCACCCAGCGACTCTTTCTTGGACTGACTTGGGCCTGGGCTCTACATCTTGTGTCTACGCGCGCATGTCTCGTTTCGTAGACTCGCGCATTCGATATAGGATGGGTGTGCGATGACGGCGATGGCTACGAGGCGTCGCGGTGGCGCCATACCACCTCACTTGCCATACGATCGCGTCATGGTGGAGGATCGGTTTGAATGGTTTTGACGGAAACAAGAGCTTACAGGAGGAGGACTTGGACGTCAGGACGGCGACGGCGGCACGCATCGAGCTCCTCCAGCGACCAAGTGCCATCGACCCAGACGTTGGCTTGGGGCTGCGAGAACACAACCGATCGAAGTGACGAACTGGCAAAGATCGCATGGAGTCCTGCGTTCGAGAACGAAACGTTGCTGACGTTGAGAAACGTGACCGTGGGACACGTGCGCAGGAGGTGGTCGACGTGGACATTCGCCGACGCGGCAGTTGGGTCCCATCCGGTCAGGACAAGTTGGGTCAAGTTTGGTACATCGCTCGAGGTGACGAACTTGGGGACGTTCAGCGATCGACACCACGCGCACGTGAGAGAATTCAGTCGGGGACACTGGAGCTCGAGATCGGTTAGTTGATCGCATCCAGACAAGTGTAGCGACTCGAGAGTTGGCGACGACAGCAACAATTCCGATAACTTGGTGCAGTAGGACACTGACACATGAACGAGGTGGTCCATCTTGTTCAAGTACACTGCAAGCGTTCCGTTGAAATATGTGTCCGTGATGAGGGTGTGGCTCCCTGTCAACACAACTTGCCTTGCTCGCGATGCATGTCGTACCAACGTCGTCACGGCATGTCGGTGCTTCTCGAGGCTGTACGACATGTTGATGATGCGCATCTCCCCCAAAAAGGACGTCCAAGCGGAATGGATTGACTTGTTCAGGGCGTAGCACGATGCCAGGTCCATGGACGGCAAGAACGCCATGATGTGCCACAAGGCATCAAGCGGACACGTTTCCATCGCGAACGATGGAATGAGTGTATTGAATATTAGAGAAATGCATTAAGTTTGAAAGGATATTCGACCTTGAGGATATTTCTTCGGGCATGAAGGTAATCCCGCTCGACCGATGGCTCGACAAGACGAGGACGCTGCTGCAGATGGAGCGAGAGGCCGAGATCGGCCAGGCCAAGATCGAGAACGACACACTACCACCGGTGTCGAACCCGAACGTCCTCTTGCACTTGCTCATGACGTCCGCATCGACGGGACTCTTTGGACGTAGGGTGCTTGTGCTCAAGCACAACCAAGGCCGGGAATTCGGAGCACACCACTTCAACGTTGGCGACTTGGTGTCCATGTGCATTCCTACCGCATCGTTGACTCCAGCCAATGCAGACGGGTTCCCAAAGGGTATCGTGACCAAAGTCGAGGACAATAGCATCGCCGTGGCGTTTGAAGAGCTGGAGGACACCGATGCATACCACAACGAATCGATTCGGTCTACCATTCATTCCACAAAGGGAAATGCATCTCTCATGTCGTCGCTGTTGTAGGTTGGATCGTCTCGTGAACGACGCGACGTATCGAAAACTCATGGAAGGTCTCGACGTTCTCGCTAAGTATACCGACGGACCTGCACGACACATTGTCGACGTGTACGCAATGCTGTCAGGGGTCTCTTCGCTTGATCGTCAACGTCTTCTTTGTCTTCAGGATCTTCCACGGCGCGGCTCCGTCGTCCAGTCCCCTTCCTTCCATCGACTTGTCGCGACGTTCCACCATGAATCCATCGCAAGTGGGCGCGATTCAGTTTGCGCTTGAGTCGAAAGACATTGCGATGATCCACGGACCTCCTGGCACAGGCAAGACGACGACGCTCGTCGAGTTCATCACCCTGTGCGTCCAGCAGTACCAGATGAAGGTTCTCGTTTGCGCGCCATCGAACATTGCCGTCGACAACATCCTGGACAAGATGGCGTCGGCGCAGGCGTCGAAAAAGTCTGGGAAGCTACGAATGACGCGCCTCGGCCATCCCGCACGCCTACTGCCTCATGTGCTCAAACATTGCCTCGACTCGAAGATCCAGTCGGCGGAAGGCACACAGATCATTGCAGATATCCGAAAGGAACTAGCAGGGCTCAAACCATCCAAAGCAACATTTCACGCTGTCCGGCAAGAGCGGAAGGCCCTTCGAAAGGAGATTCGAGTGCGTGAGGAAAAGGTGGTGTCCGAGGTATGTGTTTTCCAGGCCCATGGAGAGAATGGCGACGTGAATTGCATTAGATCATCGAACACAGCGACGTTGTATTTGCCACGAACGCCGGTGCCGCGACAAAGTTGCTGAGAAATGTTGTCTTTGACGTTGTCGTCATTGACGAAGCTGCTCAAGCACTCGAAGCGAGTTGCTGGATCCCTTTGCTGCTTGGGAAGCGCTGCGTGCTGGCAGGTGATCACCACCAGCTACCCCCGACGATCCAGAGCGAGCAAGCTGCGAGAAAAGGCCTTGGCTTGACACTGTTTGACCGAGTGACCCAGATGGAGCACTCGAAGGGCGTCGTGCGGATGCTCTCGACGCAGTATCGCATGCACCACGATATCTCGAGCTGGTCGTCAAAAGCCATGTACGCCAACCAACTGGCGAGTTGCGACAGTGTCGCGACGAGAAAATTGAGCGACTTGGCCCACGTGAACATTGAAAGCGACGCACTGGATGCAACGTTGCTGCTTGTGGACACGGCTGGCTGTGGCTTGGACGAAGAGAGGTGGACCCGCGCATGTCGAGTCGCATTGGTAACAAAAGTTGACCGCGTAGTGAAGAAGGTAGTGGCATCCTCAAGGCGTCGAAGTCCAACCAAGGCGAGGCCCTGGTAGCCGTGCAGCACGTCAAGGCTTTGTTGGCGACGGGTCTCCGGCCGTCCGAGGTGGCCGTGATTACACCATACAACGGGCAAGTGGGAGTGCTCAAGCGCTTACTGCACCCCGACCATCCGACCGTTGAGATTCGATCGGTGGATGGGTTCCAGGGGTGCGAGAAGGAGGCGGTCGTGATGAGTCTGGTGCGATCCAATGCGACGAAACAAGTGGGTTTTCTCGCCGACGACCGGCGCATGAACGTTGCGATCACGCGGGCGAAGCGTCATGTCGCACTCATTTGCGACACGGACACGTTGTCCAAGCACCCGTTCTTGAAGGCATTGGTACGTCCGGTCGCGCTAGCCAGTCGTCTCATGGCTGGTTAGATTGATCACTTTGAAGAGCATGGCGAGTGTCGCAGCGCCCACGAGTACTTGGATGTTGTCGAAGGAGGCGAGACCAGCTCCGCCGTGGCGGCGGCAATCAAGGCTGCGACGGCAGTCGGCGCCTCAAGCAAACCCAAGACAGCCGAGACGAAGAAACTTCCGTCGACTGCTCCAAAGCTCACGCAGGTACACACCTGCTAGTGTGGAAGTCCCCCAGTTGAAGCGGACGTGCATGCGCAGGTGAAAACAAAAGCCCCAAAGAGCACTGGTCCTACACACTCGCCACGTTCGCCACAGGAAGAACCAGTCCGTGCGACCCAACTTGTCGAAGAGGAGACTCCTGTGCCGCTACATGGCACGGAAGAAGTTCCAGCAGCGCAAGGCGTTGTAGTCCCAGAAGAGAAAGCAGAGGTATTAGTGGAAGAACGCGTGCATGTCACGAGCGCATTTGCGTTGCTGAGCGACGGCGAGTCCTCTTCCGCAGAAGAGAACAGATCTGACGACGATAGACACGATGCAACGCACGGTGGTCGAGAGAATGCACCCTCGATGAATGCTACATTAAAGGAACTGCATATGGCACGACTGGCTCGCAATCCGCCGCCGCCGTCGAAAAAGTCTGCAAAGAAGACAAAGAAGGGAAAGTCGGAACAGTTGCTGGTCAAAGGTCATGGGGAATGCCCCCCAGACGAGGACGAGTGGGGCTTCTTAGACCGGCTAGTGGCCTCTGCCAACTCATGTGCGTTCGTGTCGTGTACCCAAAAGACCCACGTCACTGGCTCCGTGTGCAAGTTCTGCAAGTACAAGTTTTGCTATTCCCACGGTCTTCCAGAGGTTCACGGGTGTGGCTCTGCCGTCCGTGCGTTCGAGAGGGCCAATGCCGCCCCTGCTCGGAAGCCCCCCAAGGCGGCGAATCGGCAAGCACTTCAGAAAGCGCTGGACACCAAGCTGACGAAGGCATGCCAGGATCGCAAGCCCAAACCCAAGAAGACGACGCCATGATGCAGTTGAAAACCGTTCGAAGCGTTGCCATGACTAATTGGTCAAAATAGTTGCAATGACTAAACTACTTCGACGACTTCTCGTTTCACAGGTGTGGACTCGAAAAAACGTCGGGACGACATCGGCGTTTTATCGGTTCACAATCGCACTTAATACATATGCATACGATATGGAAACTTAAACCAGAACGTCCAATACGTTTTAATGGTTGAACCATGAACGCCGTTTAAGTGCGAATCTCGCCCGCGGCATCGTTGCGTTCAAAAAACTGTGGGGCCAGACGAGGAAAGAGCGGGCAGCGACACCGACGTGTAGATGGACGACGAGCCGTGGCAACGTACCCTGGAGCACCTCACAGGTATGCCATTCATGCTGGCGATGTAGGTGTGCTCGCCCGACTGTCCTCATGACGCGACTGTGTAGGTGTCCAAGGTCTGAACAAGAGTGAAGTCCGCAAGGACGTGAAGGAAGTCGAGCAACTTTTGGACGACCATCGACAGTTTGTCGAGAAGCACCAGCACGACAAATCGAAAACAGCAACTGCCAGTCATATGGAGGAAGACGAAGATGTAACATTGTCCCGACTCCGTCGCCAACAGTACTTGGCCAACTTGTACCTCAACAAACCGATGCCCAAGAAAAAACGAAGCCGCGGCCGCGAAGTCATGAGCGCCGAGGAAATTATTGAAACGCTTCCCGTGTGCCGACGCGCTGTGCGATTGACGCAGGCGGAATTGGCTGCTGTGAAGAAGGAACGGTTGAACTTGGAAGACACGTACCTCAAGCTCCGAACCAGCTTTATCCACGAGTTGGAAGCGATGGTGCGAGAGGACAAGGACCAACAGCGCGTAATGCTACGAATACGTAAATCCGTCGGAAAGGCGGTCGCCAAGCTCCTGAGCAGCAAGCGGCGCCACACGGCGCTGCAAGATATCCTCGTCGAACTCGAAACAAGGGGCGACACGATCGAGTCCCTTCAGACCCACGTGGCTCGACTGACGAAATTGCTTGGCCAGCACGACATTCCACTGGATTCGGTCGTGGTCGGGGACACTGTGAGCTGGACCGACGGCAAGGTTCGTTGGCACATTGCTACTTTCGCATAACCAGAGTTGAGAGTAGGGAGAAGTGGTGTCAGTGTCCAAGGACACGGTCAAAGTCAAGCTCGAGAACGGAGAATTGACGACAGTGGCACTAGACGCCGTTGAAGTAAACAAGGCCAAGACCACCACTGCGATGACGGAGGCAGAATTGCAATTAAAGGCCAAGTACTTTGAAAAGGCAGGCGAGTGGGTGTCGGCTGAGGCCGCGTGGAAGGAGCTCATCGAGAAGGAGCAACTCGAGGAAGATGACTGGAACAGCGACGATGACGATGAAGACGAGAACGACGACGACGACGACGTCGATAAACGAAAGACCGACAAGAAGGTGGAGAAACTGCGCTTGAAGAAGCTCATCCCGTTCAAAGCAACGACATTGCCGTCCACGCCGTTCAACGTGCCTCTGCTCATCAGTCCTTTGAGGTGGAGAGCTTATGTTCAACACCAAGGACATGACATGATGTGACACTAACGTAGTGAACTGCCGGACCATGTTGCAGCGGCGGCGGCAGGACTCTCGAATGTTCAGTGGATGGGCAGTGCTCTCCCAGAGAATCTCGCGCAGTGGGAAGCGGATCGAATGGAAAATTTGGTGCTGAAGGGCGAGGTCGAAAGGCTCAAGTTCCAGCTGCAACAGACGGAGGCACAGAAGAAGGACGCGCAGAACCACGTGAACGTGCAGCTCGAGAGCATCAACAAGCTCGTGTCTCAGGTAGCATTTGGAACGCGTGTATCGGGGTCTCACCTGGGAAGGACTGTAGTTGGAGAAACAGCGAGAAGCGACTGCGGCCGCCACGACGCTGCTCCACCAACCTTCCTCTGCCAAAGACGTCAAGGCGAAGAAACAATCCGTGTCTGCTGTCGACAAGCGGCAGAAACAGCCGAGAAAGGACAGTTTGTCCGAATCGGCGTCGACGCCAGGGTCCCCATTGAAGGACGTCGACATGAGCGGTGGCGAGGAAGACACTGCGGACGACGATGACAAGGGAACCGAAACGACACGACGATCGCTGCGGTCCTCCAAAACTCCCGCGGTGGCGCCATCGCCGGCCAAGCAGCTTCCAACCTCAACCTCCGAAGACAAGGTAGGCATGAAGTTGATCGTACAAGGAGAGGCCCACAAGTGTTAACTTAGGGGTCAACTGGCTCGAGTGGGAATAACAATCGGCGAAAGAAAGACTCGAACGAGGCTGCAAAGAAGGACGACACCGATGCTGCAACCGACAAGAGTCACGGGGCGGCCAAAGTCACGGCTCGACGCAAGTCCAGCCGGTCCAAAGGCACCACCCCCAAATCCCCCACGAATGCCGACGGTTTGTCTGACACGGAAGAAGAGCCGGCTGCCAAGCGACGAACGCGGGCGTAGCGACGTAGCTCCATCTTTAATCTGTTACAAGTTGTGCCAGCATGCACACACGATGCCATCATCACCTCGTAGGAACAGTATGGCGTTTCGTGCTGGGATAGTATCCGGAATATTCCGGATAAGGTGATGTGCTTGGTTTTTGACACTCTGCCGCGCGGTGTGGATTGAGATGCCGGTGTGCGGCCGGTGCAATGCGACAAAGGGCTTCAACAAGTGAGATGGACACGCGAAGCTTGATGAATGACGCTATGGACGTAGGTTCCACGCTTTGGAAAAGCTCAAGGCGCAGCCCACGTGCAAAGACTGCATCAAAATCAAAGACCAGCCTGTAGCACTGAGTGCTTGCGTGGAAAGGACCGAGGCAGAGTCATCCGCGCAAGAAGACACTCCAGTTGCTTCTCCGAGTTTCGCTCCGGCCAAGGAACCGCCGATCATGAGTCCTCCAGGATCTAAGTACGTGGCTCAACCAGATATCCACACTCACAGTGACCGCATCAACTTGCACAGAAAGAAAGGCGTGTCCGTGGATGACTTCGTATTTCTGCGAGTGATCGGGAAAGGAACGTTTGGCAAAGTTCTCATGGTGCGCCACAAGAAGACGGAAGTAATCTACGCCATGAAGGTATCTACCCCGTTACAAGTGAGCTAGTGAACTGCATGTTGAGGCAGGTCATCAGCAAACAGTTTCTCGTCGACATGGATTCGGTCAAGTACATGAAGTCTGAGCGCAACATCATGACGAAGGTCGCGCATGAGGAATTCGCCGCCAACTTATGCTCCGTTGTCTTAGATCCACCATCCGTTTGTGATTGGGCTCGAATTCGCCTTCCAAACCGAGTCCAAGGTATATTTGGTGATGGAGTACCAGCCGGGCGGCGAGCTCTTTTCCCATCTTAAGAAAGAAGGGCTTCTCATGGAGGTATGTTTCCCGGTGTTTTCGTCCGTCCAAGACACAGCTGTGGTAGGACAAAGCAAAGTTCTATTTGGCCGAGATGATCCTCGCCTTGGAACATCTCCACCTCCAAGGAATTATCCATCGGTAGGCAACCAACCACAGAACCTTCTAACCAGGGGAGTCAGGGACCTGAAGCCAGAGAACGTCCTTATCTCTGCCCAAGGCCACGTCAAACTCACGGGTACTAGTCCGATGCCACATCATGACATCATCGGGTTGTTGTAGACTTTGGTTTGGCCAAACAAGTCAACGACGTTGGTGAAGTTGTCGGTTGCGACTGGCTAATTTCACGCGTAGGGTGACGAACTGTACACGTTCTGTGGCACTCAAGAATATATGGTGCCGCACCCCAACCACCTGACACGTTCCTGTCCATGACACGAATGTAGGCGCCAGAAATGGTGCTGGGCAATGGCTACTCGTCGGTACGCCACGTCATCTACACACAGCTCTATCGATGCCACGGTCTTGGCAGGCCGTCGACTGGTGGTCCCTTGGGGCTCTCGCGTATGAAATGCTCGTCGGCCACCCTCCGTTTGAAACCAAAAACAAAAACCGAAAGGAACTGCACAAGAAGATTTTGACGGCCAAGGTTGATGACGTGTCGGGGATATGCTTGATTCACATGACCTTGTAGCTGGTCCTGCCCAAGTGGCTATCGTCGGAAGCTCACTCGTTGCTCAAGTCCCTGCTCGAGCGCAACATTGACAAGCGATTGGGAGGCGGAAAGTCCACCATGTTTGTCGTCCGAGGGGTGCAAGCTCTGAAGTGCCACCCTTTCTTCCGCTCAATCGACTGGAATGCAATTGCTCAGTTGAAGACCCCCCCTCCCATGGTGCCACGCGTCAATCACGAAACGGATACGTCCAACTTCGACACGGAATTCACAGGTCTCCCCGCGACGGACCTGACATGCGGCAACTTTGATGGAGACAACGAAACCTTTCGCGGCTTTTCGTTCTATGGCCACGATGAGCTCGATATAGTCGACGACATTGAGAGTCTCGTGCTCCACCGCACTCGCTCCCTGTCCCGTCGCGCGTCTAAGGAGTTTCTTGAAGTGCTTCACACCGATCCTTCGGCATTGGGCGGCGCAGTTGCGGCCGACAGCAGCAGCGGCGGGACGGCACCTTGTTAAAGGTCAATTTCACAATGTCCGGATATTTCTTATCTGTCCGGATGATTTTCTTCTTGACATTCACCCTCACAACGCACCGACGCCAACATCCGGCGGTGGGCGAGATGCTCCACTTGGACATGCCAGTCATCAAGTACGCCATGGCGGCTCGCTGCCACTACATCTTCCAGATCATATCCTTCACCACACGGGTCAGTTACGCGAACCAGCAGAACGTGCTTTTCCTCATTTGCGCGTTCAACGTCGTGGTGTGGTTTGCTCTGTACGCGTACTTTCAAGAGAAGCTCACAATCCACGGCGATGCACCGCCAGAGCTGGTCGTGATGTGCCCGCAGTACTTCATCTACACTGTCGTGGCGTGTTGTGGGCTGTTCATTAAGCGAGCTAGCACGAGGAAGGAGAAGTGCTCGTCGGCTCGAGCCTCGATAGGAACCGTTCAACAGCCGCCGTGGCACGCCTTTGTATTCATCGCCGCTGCCACATTTGGATCGTACTACTTTTCGTTTCGGGCGCTGCGACATGTGTCATATCTGCTCAAAGTGCTCGGGAAGACATGCAAACCGATCCCGATTCTCCTCGTAGGCCTGTGCTTCGGCAAGACGTACCCTCTGCGCAAGTACGGATGACGTGTCCTTGTGCTGACACTCACACCACTTTTGAAGGTACACCAGCGTCCTTCTCATCACGGCCGGCGCCGCACTCTTCTTTTTGTCACAGACGCAGTCAAGAACATCATTGTCATCCGCTCCGCATGACGATTCCTCCGACTCGGCTCCTCTCATGGGCGTGGCCCTCTTGACGCTATCTTTGTTCTGTGACGGCTTGGCTGGGGCGCTCGAAGACAAATATATTGCCGAGTTCAACGTCGGTCCATTCGACTTGATGTTTCGCATCAGTTGGGCGAGCTGTGGCTTCTGTGCGGTGCTCCTCGGGCGGGACTGGATGACGTTGGTGATGGGCTTGTCCCAAGACAAGTGGCTCCTCATCGCGCTCATCGGAATCTGCGGCGGTCTCGGTCAAGTCTTTATGTTCCTCTCCATCGCGACATTCGGCTCTCTCTCAACTAGTGTCGTCGGCACGTGTCGAAAGATGATCACAGTTTTGTCATCCATTTACATGTTTGAGCACTCATTGTCGCCGGGTCAACTCGCTGGCCTCTTCCTCGCCTTTCTCGGGATGGTTTTCTCGACAGCGGCCGCCAAGTCCAAGCACTCCAGCGCCCCCCACCAGGACCCCGCTTGTGATATCATGCCGCAGGCACCGATGGAGCTGAACGACTTCTGCACGGTCCACCAGCGGAAGGATCCAGCGAATGTCGACCATGTCGTGTGATGCTGCAACTTATACGCCTTGAATCAGCGTTAAATCAGTAAGCAGCGCCAGGTCACCCCTTGTAAATGCGTACGAGTTCTCGAACATGCTGACGGCAAACCGGACACGACGGCGCGGTCACGAGGACGTTCTCGGCACATCCCATGCACATGGCGTTGTGGCCACATGGCACACAAACGGCATTCTGGGGACCGTCGAAGCACACGATGCACTCGCGGCAGTGGGGATTTCCTTCGTTCTCGTGCGTCGCCTCTGCAGTCGAATGTGCCGACGTGCTGGATGCTTCGGGTGGTCGAGTCGCTGGGATTGTAGGCATCGTCCTGGTTGTGTTCAAGTCGAACGTGCCTTTCTTGGACAGTTTCTTGCTCTGCTTTTCCAGTCCAGAGAATCCTCCGTGGCCAACTGCAAAGGCGACTTGAGCAGATGGAGAGAGCGCCAAGGACGGAGCTGACGGTGCATCTGGTGGAGGACTGGACGGGAAAAATTCTTTCGAGGGGAGTTTGGGTGCGGATGGGGACAATGGGGCACGGTGGAGCGCAGTACGCGGGGGTCCCCAGTCGGCCGCCGGACCAGTCGCGACTCGCGGTTCCTTGGCTGCCTCTTCCGTTTCCACATCCTCCTGCACGCAGACGCGCTTGAAGTCACTCGTACGATATATATTGGGCACGTACGCTCGCGAAATCGTTGTGGCGACGAAGGAGGCGCGCGTCGTCCAGCATGGCAAGCGACTGCCATGATGGGTTGGACATCAAACGACAGTATCGAGGTCACGGTGTGTACCGAATAGACGCTGAAGAAGGTAGTCCATGCCTCGAATCCATCGGCGCTGGCTGCAGCAAACTCGACGGTCACCGTGGCTCCATCGCGTCTGGCTTGGAAAGAGAACCCATGTTGCCGAGAATGCTTGGTGCATGTCGGAGATGATTGAAAAGGATCGCCCAGTGCGTACAACAATGTGGACCTGCACTTGACATGATTCACGACATGCTGACGAAACGTACGTGGGCACGGGAGGACATCGCGCATGCTCCTTGGCGTTGAAGAGGCAAATCTCCACTTGCGACGACGACGGCGCTGTTCGCAGCACGATGGCGTAGCTAAGATAAATAAGGGAGTGACGGAAACCCAGAGAAGTTTCGAAAGCACCATACCGAAGCTTCCATGGAGAAGGTCCAAGGAATTTGGAAATGCCCATCGTCGCCGTGCTCTCATATACCCACGAACGGAATATGCAACATCGCTAACGTGTTGTCATGGAAGGGATGGAACGAGCGGGAGCCCAACCTCTTCCAGGAGCCTTGCGCATTCCTTAAAGCGAGTCCACGCGTCGTGGTCCAAACAAGCCATGCGCGCGATTTGGAGGGGCGAGTGGTGGCGGCGATCGAGGGTGTATGGGTTCATATATGGCACGTCCAGCAGAAACGCGACGACGTCCATTTGTCCATGCTCGCAGGCGCAATGGAGGGCCGTGGAACCTGCTTTATTCCGCGCGTCTACATTGGCGCCAACGGCAATGAGAATTTTGGCGCACTCGACATGGCCCTGTGCACACGCGACGAGCAGGGGAGTGTTGCCTGTCTTCGGATCGGTGTATTCAAGGAAGTCGCTCGTGACAGGGCTCATCGACGACACAAACGCCTCCAGAGCAGAAACAACGCCATGGAAGCATGCCATGTAGGGCAATTGTTCGTCGCTATATAGTTCGGGATGGAACACAACGTCTTTTTCGGCTTGAAACTCCTGTAGTTTGGACAGCACTGCATTGAGTTCCATGGTTTGCCGCTGCCACTTTTCGCTGTTTTGAGGGTACGCGTCCCTCTTGGTGAGGATTCTGTCGCGAATTCGCTCCAATGCCGCCATCGACTTGTCCAGACGACTGAGCGCGACTTGCGTGTGCTGATGGTTGCTTCCTGTCATGATTGTGCTGATGACGCTTGAAACAGTTATGCATGCCTGAAAACTGTACCTAGTTTAGGGAAGGCCTTGGGCAAGAGTCACAAGGAATGCGTCAGATTCGCCAAAATACAGATATTTTGGATTATAGACCAATGAGATCTAGCGACTTGATAAAATGATGACCAATCAAATGGATACACTTTGCATGAAATACTCTTTAAATAGATATAGATTATCACATCATATTTAGAAGGTTTGCTCTCGATGGAACGTGGTGTGCACATGGAAGACGGCGCGGTGGGATCGACGGGACGACGGGCGGCGCTGCCTCGGGAAGCACGAAACAATATTGTCACATACAACGAGGCTCAGTTTTACATGGAGACGTCGCACAGAAGTCCCAAGCGAGCAAAGCCAACGACACCGCGAGGTAGCACTTCGCTCGCCACGGTTGAACTGGAGGTCGATTCGGAGATTCGCAAAGGCAAATACGACGTTGGCGACTGTGTCGTAGTATCTCACAACGACGACGAATACGTTGCCCTTGTAAGCTCTCTGCAAAGCGGCGACGGCAGCCCTGCTTCAGCAGAATCGACTAGCCACCCGACAAGGTTTACAGGAATTTGGTACTTCCGCCCCGACGACGTGGCGAAGGAAGCACTGGGAACCGTGGACGGAGGAGTTTTCGAAAATGAAGTGTTTCTGTCCGTGGAAAAGGACACAAACGGCATCGAGCACATCGTGGGCAAGTGTCAAGTCGTGTCCGAGCTGGACATGCGCGATCGACAAAACATCCTTCGTCTCAATCAGCACCCCGCCGACAATGAAGAAATGGTGTTCGTGTGTCGGTACAAGTACGATATGAAGAAGCAGACGCTGTCGCCCTTGGAGGACCCGTACGAAGTGCGTCACGGTCTAGGAAGGAACGAGCCTTCCATCGGCTACGAGTTCCAAGCGGACAACTTGCCACCATGCACGAAACCTCCTCGATCTCCCTTCACCGGCACCCACGTCTGGTCCCCCTCCTCCATGAATAATGCTCCGTACGCCTTTAAACAGTTCATCAAAGCAGTCGATTCCCTGCGGTATGGAATCGGTGCTATTGTGAAGCTATACGTTGGAGGCTGCAGTGCCAGGTCGATTACAACTCCTATGACCGTCCATGTTTCCAAGAACAACTCGTTGACCGGTGGCACGGTCTGCCGCGGGATCGTGTGCAATGTCGTCGACAAGAATTCCATCATCGTGTGCGCAGCAGCTGCGGGTGGCGTGCCCATGGAGGTGTTCAAAGAGACGGCGAGCTCGGCCCTCACGGACGACCGAGCAATGGGATACTTTCACGAATGCCGTCGCGACTGTGGGGCGGCCCTGGAGAAGTGCACCACGGCATTCCGACAGCTTCAGGTAGAAGAGAAAGCGCTATTCCGACGGGAGCTCCAAGCGCACTTGGCCAAGTCAGTGCATTGACCGGTGTCATCTGCTTTCTCTGTTCCAGCGTCATGGCTTTCGGAGACCCCGTATTAACAACGTAAAAGACCAATCTAAGGTGCACGGATCATGTTGATTTGCTTTGTTGGCTTGTAGCTCAGTGCAGATAATCGGACGGGAAAACTGAAATGTGCCCCATCAAGCTGAAATCATGGGCTTTCGGGAGGAATCGCACATCTGCAGTTTGCGTTCTTTGTAAAACGAGAATACTGTATTTTCTAAGCAAAAGTAATGATAATGAGCAAACCAATCTAAGGTGCACCGTTTTAACTTGGCTTCAGTATTGTCTGTTGCATATAAATTTTAGGAATAGGGTATAAATTGTGAGCAGGTCAAATGTAAATTTCACAGGTAATGCATTCATACAGTCAACATGGATCTTTTGGCATTTTCGATATTTCAACACAAGAAAAATGACTCAAGGTATTCAACCAAGTCAACTGAACATGCAACGATGTTGAGGTATTAAACTACGACCTCCTCGTTCATTGACCTAGTTTGTCCACCAGAAAATGGCTTCAATCCAAGCATGGCAGCAATGCCAGCCCATTTCAAGGCCACCTTCGACAATGTAAGTCTGTTTCCATTTTCGCGTCCTTTTCGCCCGCCCCGCTTGACACGCAGAGATGCTTTTAGTTTGGACGCAGCTTCGCGTTCGACTTTCGTCTTGTCCAACTCGCTCAGCAAAGCCAAAGTAAGAATTCTACCGCCGACATCAACCGACTTTCGATGGGTCTTTTTCCTCTTTGGCATAACAGGCAAGTTCAGCACGACTGCTCGTAGTTCACCTTGGCGTTCAATCCAGTTTGCTTCCAAGTACGACTTTGGGACACCACCCTCCTTAAACATATTGAACCGATTCATCATTTGAACCTTCGATAGTGGCCAGAGGCCAGTAGCCCTGAACTCGGCAATGACATTGGCTGGGAGGATGCTGTCCACCCAAGCATTTGAAGCAATCCGCAGCGCCGTAGACTTCGAAATAGAATAGAGTTCACCCGTATCTATAACGTAAATATTAATTGAGGACAGATAACTGATTATAGTACCATTGTTCACCATTTCCTCAACAATTGCATTGCGAATGGCGGTCTTGTAGGGTCCAAAGACAGCAACATCCAAAGGTTGAAATAAATGTGTCGCATTCGATGGAAGACATAACAATATTATGTGCAAATCAACGCACTGTTGAACAATTGCGGGTGAATAATGAGAAGCAAGTCTGTCGAAAATTAACAAAACAGGGCGTGCACAATTAATTGATTCCGAAAAATGTTGAATCCAGGATTTGAAAAGGTTCTCATTCATAAATCCTTTGGGAGACGTCGAAATAGTAGCATTTGGTATCGTACACTCGAGACCCAATACTCGTTCAACCGTTTCACCAGGAAACAAAAACATTGGGGGAAACACATAACCAGATGCAGATGCACAAGCAACAATAGACAAGTGAAAATTTGGAGATACTGTCTTAGCCCACACATTTTGTGACCCTTTCAATGCAATTACTGGCCTTCCCCTTTTTCTTGACGCAAATGCGGTTTCATCCATATTGAACACTCGATCAGGGGTGAGCCGATGTTCCGTGACTGTTTGCAATAGTGAATCAAACAATCTGTCCACAGCATCTTCATCCACCGCGTTTCGTGAATTGTTGATAACTTGAGCCACGCGAGAAGTAAGCACTGGGTGGCGCTGACGGAAGCGCTTGTACCAGCTACCGGTGAGATACTTGTGGGTGGGGTCAATCGCACGCAAGTGTTGAGTGGCTTTGACCATGATGGCATTGCGGTCAGTTGGATGCCCGTCTTGTTGCATGGCAACAATCCAAGCTACAAGGTCGCTTTCGCAACTGGACGGGAGCGCAGTCTTTGGTCCCGGGCGCATTGGAGTATGGTTGCGACCCGACTTGTTGGCGCCAACTGCTTTCATGATTGTGTTGTACGGAATGCGTGAGGCCGTAGCAACACGCTTGCTACAAGCACCGTTGACGACTTGGTTAACGGCACCCTCAAGTTGCTGTGGAGTGTACTGGCGGCGACGTGAACGACAAGGTCGTTCGCCAGGTTCATTCATTGAGGCGCAAAACGTTGAGTGTTGTGACATGCATACTTTGATTAGTTTATGGAGGTTTTGCCACTAAATTCGTAAGCTTATGATTGGGTACTTTTCGTGCACCATAGAATGGTCCGTGCACCTTAAATTGGTCTTTTACGTTATCCATTTCGAAAGTGTGCTGTTTGACAAAGAGGAAGATGCAAAGAACAATTCTCTTGATAACGTTAGTACAGTGAACCCCGGAAAGAGCCGACACCCTCAACCGAGCAGGCATGGAAAGAGCCTCTTCTTTCTTTTAGAGGAAATGAGGATGTAGGTTAAAAACAATAAAACCAGAATTTGAGACAATAAAACATTATGTTGAATGATTGTATTCTTCATACTACTGTTCTGGGCACCCAGAACACTTCCCCCTCCAATAGGGAGTGTCCGATCGTTTCTTCTATGGGCGCCCGCAGTGCCTTGATTTCTTGTTTGTCGTCGTTCTTCACAATACAACACCGCATTACAACCGCAATGTCTTCGCACAATTGGGATGCAGGTTCCCAAGACGCTTCTGCTTCAAACCCCTTCCACTTGACCAGAACTTCATGTCTTCCTTCGTTGCAACGCGCCGCCAAGAGTGCCTCGACGTAGAAACCTGCTTCACCGAACGCGGCGTAATCCACCAGGTCATTTGTTACCTCGAGGTCATCGACGCGAATGAACTTGAGCCGGCTGGTGTGGTGCAACGCTGTCTTGTACGGCTCCACCAGTTGCTAAACTTCCATGACTAAGTCCACTCTTGACACGCGGTAAGGCCCATTCCAATTCAGGGCCAACTTATTCGGGTACTTCAGTAACCGGCCGACTAGTACGAAATCCCAAACTTCGTCATGCACACATTCTTCTTTCGCCCATGCTGGTCCCTAGCTTTCCTGCGCAACTATCGCTTCGCACAGCGACATACCGATGCATGTCGTCTAGAGCTTGTCGTAACTCGGCCATGTGCTTCTTACCTGTGCTGGGAAGCCAGTCCACAGTCACCACTTCCTTCGTCCTTGGGTGTACGAACCCAGCAATCGGCGGTGTTGACGGCAAAACTTGAAACGTCGTCACCGGGGAAACACCACCCAGCCGATCGGCCGACTGGTGGTTCAGGGCACTTTGCCCGAGCGGCAATACACGGTACCACTCGTCCAGTCGCAACTTCATCTCGCTGAGGAGGGCCTTCAACTCGCGCTTCACGAAGCTGTTCACCACTTCCACCGTCCTGTTCTCCCATGGTGTGTAGGGCGTGGTGATGTGGTGGTCGAATCAGATCATGTTCTTGATCTTGTCCACCACTTCGTTCTTGAAATTGCTGTCGCCATCAGACACCCATTTCAGGACCGTGCCGTGTGTGACAAACCAGTCCAGCAACGCGTTGGCTGTACTCGCGGCGTCCGCTGTAGCCGAGGGAAATAGGCCACAAAACCCGCTTATGTCGTATTTCACGACAAGCACGAATTTGCAGCCGTTCGAGGCTGGAGGCTGACGTAACCATTCGAAATGGATCAGCTCGTTCGGGCGTTCCGAATGCAACGCCGCACCCCAAGGGCGCGGAACCACGACTCCGTCTACACCGAGGCAATGGAAACAGCCACCGACGAAGGACTTGATGTTTTCTTTGGCTGTCGCCCACTCGAACCGATCGAGTATGTCCTTCTGCGTAACGTCCACGCCGCGGTGACTAGCGGCACCTTGACAGGCAATGATGCAGATCCACTGCCTTGTCCGGGACCCAAATCTTGCTGGCTGTCGTCACGTAAAGACCGTTCTCTTCACTCCAGGTCACATTCGGGTGTTCTTCCCCCGAGTTTTCCGTCGCTTCACGCTGTAACCCCAAGATCTTGGCTGCCGTCGGCCATTCGAAATCCTCTGCTTGTAGGGGCGAAGCAACCACCAGTTGTCGCACTCGCGCAACTTGCGCAGGCAGAGGGGCCACTCCCCACAGGCTACCAAATCTGCCCAGGCATCGGCACCCCCGGCTACGTTCTCGAGGGTGTACGGGAACGTCGTCATGACCATAGCCCACCACTTCAACTTGTGGGCATGGTAACGCGCCATGTTGAATTTGTGCAACAGATTCTGATGATCCGTGAACAGTCGGAATCCCTGCTGCCGCAGCAGGAGGTACTCGAGCCGTTTGCACGACTCCACGATCGCAAACGCTTCCTTCTCCACCGTCGGCCAACGGCGCTGGCACCACCAAAAGAGCCCCTCAAACCGCCAGCGGCTCATGCCCCTGATCATCCACGGGCAGACCCAGGTCTCTAGGTGGAATCTGGGTGTTCGCCGCGCCCCAGTGCGTTTCGCTTGCATCTGTGTACAAACAGATGACCTTCCCCGACGACGGATGCGACAGCGGCACCGTGTGCTGAAGCGTCGTTTCAACAGCTGCATTACACTCGTCGTGCTCAGCTGCCCAACCGATGACATCCAACTTGATCTTCGCCAAGGCTGTCTTCTTCGAGCCTCCGGCGGCCTTGGCTGCAAAATCCAGCAATCCACGCTGGGAGCAACCAAACTCGCATACCCCGGGATCGACGTGCGCATCAGTTCGTGGCGCACACGAACTGCTGTAACTCGGCGCCAGTTGTTGGCGTCTCTAACGCACACAATCCTTGCACCCGGTCGGGTGAATGAGCGATTCCATCCGCAGAAATCACTTTCCCGCACCATTTGGCTTCCTTGAGGAAGAAGTCGCACTTCCTTGGATGGAGCTTGAGGCGGAACCTGCCGCAAATGGCGAGCACCACGTCCAACAATACCAGCAACCTGTCTGTGCTGTCTGCGTACCCCGTCTGGCCCATAAGGATCCGGGTGGAGGTATACAAGCCAAAAGGCGTAATGAACGAGTACCACAACTGGCAGGCGGGATGCAGCGCGAGATGCCAATATCCCTTCAGCCAATCCAGCGTGAAAACACCTTCAGACCGACCAGCGTTGCCATGGCTGCGGCCAAGTTCGGCATCGGCCATGGCATCGAGACTGTCCACACGTTGATCGGTCTTGAATCGATCGTCATATGATATTCACCGGGCTCCTTCTTGGCGACGATTCTCGGCGCAGCCACCCAGGTTGCGCGATTGTTCGGATAGACAAGGCCCCCGATACTAGTTCTCCCACATGCTTCTTGAGGTAATCCATGTGGGCAGGCGGGTACCGCCGCAGTGACGTCTTTACAGGGACCGCGCCTTCCTTCAGCCGTACCATCAACGGCTCCACATCCACCGGCAAGTCCCGACCAAACTCGAGACGGAACACATCGATGTGATGGGTCAGGATGCGCCTGAGCTCCATCGCTTGCGCATCCGTAAGGCCACGTTCCATGGCCTCCGCAATCTTTTCGTCGAGGATGCGCCGTATCTGCCCGTATGGGTCAGCCGTCTTCTCCATCGACAGGGTAGAGCAAGCAACGTCCAACTCTTCAGCGTCGTCACCATACATCTCCTGCAGGCGTTGGAAGGTTCTTGGTTTGTCTTCACCGTCGCCCAAATCGCCGACTTCCCTGGTTTGGCACTTCATCAGCGCATCCACGAGCATGTCATCAAGCGAAAACCCGAGGCGTTCCATAACAGGTTGACCGATCAGGAGGTTGATCTGCGGCGATTGCTCGTCCACCCAAGCATTCAAACCACGGAGAGGCAAGGGTCATATGGACGTCCCCAAGGTCAGCGCCTTGAACTGCACTTGCCGCGTCACCTTGAGCGACAGAGAGTTCACACCAAACGGCTTCAGCTTCACAAATGGCTTGTCCACAACGCTTGGTCTTGATCCCAGGCGCTCTAGTGCCTGCAGCAATCCGTTTGACTCCAGGGACTCATCTGAGCCTGAGTACAACAACACGCGGGGCTGCACCAGCACGTCGTCCAACGTGGCACGGCACTCAATGCTGTTGCTCTTGTCGCTATTCTTCATGGCGTTCACACCTCGACAACTGGCGTAAACCTCGTCCATCAGTTTCTTCACCCTGCCGTCGGTGATGCCGGGGTGTTCGCGGACACGGTGCTCAGTAGATTGACACTTCAAACACTGGCCTTGGGCCGCTCGAACCTAAGTTCCCTATCGGTCTTCAGGGCATGCGCAGTTGGCGCAGCATTTGGTTTCTTGTCGTTGCAACCGTAACTACGACCGTAGCCACGCGGGTTCTGGCACTGCTCGCTCCTCGGCCGCGCTTCCACTGGTGCCCTGGCGGGTTTCTCTCCATCCACACCGCCATATACCCAGCGGCGAACTACCGCAGCCACTTGATGAAACGAAACACGTCAGCCTTGAGGACTTTGTTTTGCTGCAATTGAAACTGTTTCGTAACCGCAACTTGCAGTGGCGCAGGCGTAATCGCCTTCGTGATGATCCCCACCACCAGTTTTCCTTCTTGATGCAGCACCCACTCTTGGCCGTCTGCCTCGAGAGCTCGCATCATGTTGTCCAAGTTCGGCTAACTCGACTATCGGCGTCGAGGATCCGCGTGTCGAACTGCACGGCTATTTGCAGACGCCTCTTGAGCGCGTCCAGCTCCGCCGGCTCTTCGTCATGGGCTTCCATGAACCAGGCAACCCATTCGGTTTCAGTCACATCGCCATGCGACTTCCCCAAGTCGAACATTGCAATGCGCCGCTTGTAGAATGGGTCTATGCAAGCACCCACATGCATCAGGAATGGCAGCTGGTCGGTCGACTGCAATGCCTCGATGTGCGAGGTATACCGCTTATACTCTCGCATGAACGCCCGACGTTCTGCCTTCTTGACTCCTTGAACAAAGGCGGCTGGGGAATAGCCGGCGCGTTGAGCTCACGGACTCCGGTGTCTCATGTCTACGTCTTCGGCCACACTTGTCGCTGTCGGCGTGTCGGTTGACAGATGCGTCTCGGCAGCCGATGCATTTGCTGCAGACGGTGCCACCTTTGGCACATGTATCGCGTTGCCTTCTTGTCCAACTCCGCGCCGGTCGATCGGCTGTGGCTGGGTTCTTCGAGGAGACCCAAATGGCCCACGAAGACGCTCGCGGCCTTGGCGCACTCCAGAGTCATACCGCACTGCGCCGTCGTCGCGCTCCGGCGTCCGTGACTTGCGACTTGACGACTACTCATCAATATCACTCATCGTGAGCTCGATACAATGCTCTAAAGAATTCTTTGTTCAGCACTCCGCACCTTCGACGACTCTTTGAACCTACAGGAACCACTCGCTTGGTCCGGTTCACAATGCAAACTGAATTACAGTCAATTAGCGAGTGGCCCTCACTTCGAGGTGAGCCACCCAGCTAACCGCACTTTCTGGAAATTTGACATCTCGGTTTGGGACCCGGCCAAAAGACCTTTCGTGAGGTTGAGTCGGCTATAGGCACCCAGAACACTCCCCCACTCATAGAATTCGAACTTTGTTAGTTGCTGGTCACTCGGTACATGCCACGCTGGGAGTCAACGGTCGGCTTGTGCGGGTGCTTGCGTTCTTGTTCCGTCTCTACCAATCTGGGCGTTTATCATCATAAATGCCGTTCATGAGGGTGCGGAACTATGCACAGGCGTTGGGGTGCCTCTTGGCGTACTCGCTCTTCTTGTGATGTCTAATCGCTGTCTAGCAGTGCTTGCATTTGACACTCTTGACCCCTGCGGATCGACATCGTCGCTGAAGAGGTTCCAGATGTCATTAGCAGAGCGACCGCGTTTCCTTTCCGATGCGGGGACGGCCATCGTATCATCATCAATATCATCAACGATGACCACATCGAGCGCGTCTTGCGGCTGCAGCTCGAGTATATCATCTTCGATGAACGGATCAACGGGCTCGACAAACTGGCTTGGAGAAATCGAGTGTTGCGACATTTGCTTAGAAAGAATTCTAGGGACTTTCTAAGCAGGTCGTGGAACACTGCGCTGTCTGGTCGCGGACGCTGTCGGACAAAACTACTTATTACGGGCATAAGGAGTATTATTCAATAATAATGTTCTATTAATGCAACCATATAAAGCCCATACCTCAGATGGAGGTGAGGTTTAAAAGGATGACCTTGCATAACCTAGGTGTAATAGACCTACTCGTGCCATCCCTGCATACAAGCAGTCCACCTCTATAACATGATCTGCATAAAAACTTCTACCACCCGCATGCTTCACTGCAGTGAATGACGAAACGGATTGCATGATTCAACAACTCTGCTTTTGTCATATAAAGTTTAGTTACTAAAATAAAGCACTGTGTTTGGCTAGCGATGTTATTCTCCCTTCTGCGCGATTTTTTTATAATTGACATCTCCACGCACACAGAAACTGATATCCCCCGCTGACCGAACGGGGCAAATTTGATAATTTTTATAAATAGATGACATTGAATGTCAGAGGGATTTTCAAACATTTGAAATCATTCACGTACGAGTACAGCAGATCGAATAAAGCATGCCAAGCAAAGTATGTTGCGGATGACTCTTGTGGAGAAGCATGCGTTAAATGCGAAGCATCTAATCGAGCCTAATGTACAGTAATCTGCTCTGCTCTGGCCTTATGGGCAGCTCAAACATTTGGACTCACGTCAACTCAATCGAAGTCGACTGTCGCGCACATTCTCAAGCTACAGCACACCGAGATTGCGTGCTGACAAGGCTAAGCGCATGAAGGAACAACGGGTCGCGCTGTCGGAGGTCGAAGTCATTTTATGGAGTGGATTCTCCCAGCGAAGAGCTCAGTGTGTGCATCACTGGCGACCGCATCAGGCAGCAGGCTTGAACGATCTGCTGCCAACTCTGTGTCGAAACAAACCTACGCTTCTCCAAGGGTTGGCTGTACAATTATCAAAGAAATGGGTATACATACCAGCAAGGTGCTGGATGGCGAGGCAGGTTCCATTCCCCGGGAGACCCGTCAACGTTGGCGCCGTGAGGTCCTAAGTATGACCGCCGGTTACTCCAGTAAGATTGCTCTCGTCATGGACGAAACCTCGTTTTTATTGCATGTCATCGCATCGGTCTATTACGCGCAATGGATGCTTGGGACGATGAAGCCAAAGAAACTCATTACGATTGCACTCACCACGAACGCAGCCGACACCGACACAATCGACCCCTTGTTCATTGGCACGGCAACAAAATCTCGTTGCTTCGGCGGTCAAACGCCAGCGGAGCTTGATTTGGATTACTACGCGAGTAAGAAAAGTTGGATGAACTTGGACATGTTCAACTCATACCTGGAAGCCCTAAACGTCAAGATGGCAGAACAGGACCGAAAGTTTCTAATGCTTGTCGTCAATGCCCCGCCGCGCTTGGTGTTCGAGTCCACACCCCTGTCCAACATCCGTGTCAAGAAACTGCCACCAAATATGACAGCCTTCCTGCAGCCCCTAGACACTGGAATCATCGCCGCTTTAAAGGCCAAAACCAAGCAGCGCCAGCTTCAAATGCGTTAGAGCAGATCAACGAAGTCGTTGCCGGTCGGCAAGACCGATTGTAGGAAGGATCTCTTGATATTGCAATGGGGTGGGCCAAGGAAGCGCGACGGTCAATGACGCAGTCCACAGTGGTGAACGGTTGCGCTCGAACTGGCATCATGGACGACGACCTTACCGCATTCAGCGGCAGATGTCGATATAATTGTTGAATTTGGACGTTAATTTTCGTGAATAGTTGGTTGTGAACGATACCCTTGACTGTCAATACCTATAAATACGTATAGCCTGTTATATTGTTCGTGGATAATTGTTTGGCGAGAAGGGGATATCGGAATTTATGACCGAGAATTCGACTCCGAAAACTCCAAAGCGGTCTTACACGGTGGCATTTAAGCTGCACGTACTGCAACTCCTTCATATTTCCATCCAACTAACAAGCGCCAAAGACATTCGCCGCAGATTTTGAGAAGGCCCTACATCGTCAAATAGTTGCTGAAGAAGAGGCAGCAGTAATTCGAAGTAAAATTACGGCTTCTAGCATAAGTTGTTGGTATTTTGCATCCAATTTCTGTGATTTCAATACACTATCAATTTGACACTGCCCGGGAAGTGTCCCTTCCTTTGTCACTTACTACATAGCACCGCTGCATCAAACCCTTATAGTTTAAGTGGTCATCCTACCCATCATGACACAATTTCTGAATGTCTTTGATCTGCAAAATTGCGTAAGAGTCTGTTTCACAGAAGCACAGTGCTCCTGCAATAATATCTAAAAAACAGTTAACCAATGATTAACTGTAAAAAGAGAATATATCGATTGGTTACAATTGGCTGAGAATTGAAACGCGGTTGGAACTTCCAAGCCGAATCATACCCCAGTATTCAGAAATACTTCGAGGACCACCATGTTCTCCATGTCCTACCATTCCGTTGTGCACTATAGCCTTCGCTGAGTGGCTCTTTTCTGTGCAAACCATTGGGAGAATGTCATGTGGTCGGACGAAAAAGAGTTCAACTTGGATGTCCCTGACGGGTTCTAGTATTACTGGCACGTCCTACGACACAACAAGGACGAGTTGTTCGCTCATCGCAGCGGCGGTAGGAGCTGTGTGATCTGTGGTGGTTATTCGTCGAGACCGAACTTGCCTTCCTGCTCCCACTTATTTGATACCTAATACACTGTCTAACTACCTTATGCCGTTTGGGCTGAATTGTACGGCGACAGCTTTATCTTCATGCAGAATAATGCCAGTATACACTGTGCCAAATCAGTTTTGGAGTTTCTTTAAGAAAACAACGTCGTATGTTTTGAACTTCCTGAGTTGTCTCCATCGAAAACTTCTGGGGACTCCTCGCTCGTTAAGTCTACCAAGATGGGAGGCGGTATCAATCAGTTGCCGAGCTCAAGAGCGAATGGGTGAACGTTACTCAAGATTACATATTCCTCAAGCTCAATGAAATTCCAATTCACAAAGAAGAGATAATTTAATAGCTAACAAATTGGTCAATAGGACAAATATATCCACTCATGGTTGTGACATGCGGCACGCATCACGCAATATACTACCTCCGACCAATAAGTTTGCAACAACATGTGGAATCGCATATCAAAAATATTTGCAACAAAGCGAAAATCAAGATAAAACATACATTATTTGATGACATTCATTCAGGCTAGTTGTGCATGATATGATACGAGCCTTCGTCGTCGTTGAGTTCAAACTCAATTGCATCACCGCAAAGGATGAACTGTAGATCGAAGGTGTTGCTTGATTGAATAGCCGCCTCTGCAACCTGAATTGCAGCTTCAATTTGTTGTGCACGGACCTCTTCCTCTAGAGTCGCTCTGGCAGTCGCACCATCCGTTTGTCGAAGTTTTGAAAGGCCTTGATCATACACCTCTTGTGGACACGCGACACTGACTGGAAGCTCGCCAAGGCGAGCGAGGTGCTTCTTGTGCATATGAGGTATGGGAAAACCGTTTCCACCATCAGCCTTGATGATTTCGAGCATCACAGATTGGAGAGTGAGAAAATTCCACTCCAAATTTGCCATTGGGATGTCATGCCACGCATTCTTCACTCTCTCCACAAGCTCCTCGATGCTCTTGCAATTCTGTCGTTGCTGAAGTGTTTGGAGCGCACGGAAGAAGCCCAAGTCCAGCACATTCAGGTCAGGTGAATTCGGGGGTTGGCAAACAATTTGCATTTTGCAGTCGTATTCCCGCTTCGTGGCATGCAGCATGGATTTCAATGTCTTGTGGTGAAATATGGGGTCTAGCGTTATCTTGTTGCAGTTTGACAACGCACAGACCAGGGAGTTCGTGAACCGACATCAAATCCGACAAAACTTGTGATATTGCAGGGATAACTTTGTCAATGAGCATGGCTTTGTAGGACTTCCTTGTTACGTTTACGCTTTTCATTTCAAGAGTCCCTGCAGGCCTTCTGTGGCTGTTTTTCTTTGCTGCAACTAACTCGGTAAAGTGCCATGTTCCAATCTTCCCACTGAACCACGTTTCTGTCGTAGCGTTCCAACGTGGCCTTGCAACAGCGGACAAGAACATGACCTTCCCAATGAAACGAGTAGACTTGCATGATCGATGGGGTGGTGGCTCATTTGGTAGCAGATAGATTGTTTTGTTGACTTGAGTCATGTAAAACCATTTTTCATCTACATGAATGGTGTCATACATGGGATCAAATTCTAACCTGTTGTCGGTTGACCGTTGCACGTGCTTCATCGCCCAGTCGAGCCTCGCAAACGCATTGGATGGAGTGAGAGTTGGCTTTACGCGTGACTTGTGCCGTTTTAGAAGTCCCTTCTTGTAGTGATATTGTAGTGTTGAACAAGGCACGCCAATGTGAGCAGCAATAGCTTGTAAGCTTGTTCGTTTTGTAGCCGGCATTGAGGACATCTTTTCATGGAGATCGGTATGTTTCAGCTTTCGACCACTTTTGCACGTTTTGGAGTTTATGTCTGACACCAAAAGCTTTTGGTCAACAACTTGTACGTCAGCGCGCTCCCAAATACGCTGAGTTGTTGCTCGATCGCACTTGAAGATGCGCGCCACCTCACTCAAAGCACCACGCGGCAGTTGCTCATTGCCACCGAGACGGACAAGTAGATGCCGGAGTACGTCCTCGCGTTCCTGCTGTGTCAAGTTGGCGCGCTTCGATCCCTTGACCGGCATTTTGCATGTGACGACGACGACGGTACTTTCGTCGCCATGGGACGCTTTATTATCCGGATACGGTTACAAATTTCTAGCGTTTCACATTTTATGACTTGATACAAAGTATGTATCAGTGACGACAAACTTTGAGGACAGTAGCACTTCCATACCAAAAACTGGAGTGCCATTGGTCAAGTTCTATAACGCTCGATCTCCCAAAATATAATATCCTTTTAGATTTGAAAAATGTTCAAAATTGATCGAGATCGAAACGAATTATCCATTTGTTGCAAACTTTATTGGTCGGAGGTACTAGTAGTAATATTTTACACTTGAAGTTGTGCTTGAACGCCTGGTACTTCTGTAACTGTTTTGATTCGCCCATAAG